TTATTCTCTACTTAATTTTCTTCCTCCATTTGTTTTAATCAGAAAGGAAGGGCGACGTTCAGGTTCCAACTGACACAAAAAAATATTCAAGGGGTGTACCCAAGAGATATTTTTTGCGCCAACCAGTGCTAGATGATACAATGCACCGAAGACATTACCCAAGGGATGAACATGTATACCATCTAGTTCCCTAGTGTCGCTTCTCCAGTGTATTCCCATTAAATCACCAAAATAAGACCTAGCAGTGCTTAAAACTTACCAGTATACATGGAAACTACTTGATACGAATACGTAAATAAGGGAAAAAATTTGATCTAATTGTACAAGGCCCCTAATGTGTCTAGGCAGACCATTCAAGCAAGTATATGTAGCTGAGTGGTTGAGGAATGCTTGTCCAGCAAGACTGTCCGCAACTGCATTAGCTTCTCTGTAAATATGAGATATTGTGTAAGATCTTCGAGCCATTATCATATGGATCTCCTTAATATAAAAAAGTATCTCCAAGGGATTGCTTGCAAAGAATTAAGAAGATCAGCCAGTACTTTGTTGTCTGTCTGTATGGACACCGAATCTAGACACAGTTGGTCACATTTCCTTATTCCGAACAAAAGTCCATATACCTTAGCACCAAAACAATCACCATTGCCAAGGAATCCGCTCTCTTTATACAAAAGATTTCCATCACCTCCTCTAATTACAAAACCATACCCCGAATCAGCATTAACAGCTGAACCATCAGAATTTAGTACAAAACCTTTCGGTTGCGGCACTGACCAATGAACAGAGATACAACTCCGTTGTTGAACATTTTTCAATTTGATGCCGAATTCATTTTCCACAAAGCTCCTTTCCTCCTCATTCCTTTCCTTGAATTCATAAATAGACAACATGTTCCTGATTTCTGTCACGATTTCCAGGATCACCTTTTCACGTATAAAATTGGCCCCATCATAGCAAATCCTCTTTTTGATTTTCCAAGTTTTCCATAGGATAAATGACGGTAAGACTTTAACCAGAGATGGCCTCACCGTTGTAAAGCTACCTTTGCTCCACCATTTTAACAATACCTCCACCAAAGAAGTCTCAGCCACCAAGGCAATTCGAAAAATATTGGCAAAATGCGCCCAAACTTTGTAAACTTCAGGACAAATGAGAAAGCAATGTTCAATGCTATCTTCTTGCTTCTTACAAAAACCACAAATAGAATGTCTAACTTGGATTCCAAACTTACGCAAAATCTCAGGAATGGTACCAACAAGTTCCGAAGTTTCCAGACAAAAAAAGAAACTTTTAGCGGGATCAGTTTGTGCCAAAAGTTCTTTGCCAAAGGATCCTCCAAGCTTCGTTTCCGCAATTAAAGATAGGCAGTCTTAACAGAGAAAAGGCCTGTAGGTGAATGCTACCATATAAATAAGTCCCTCTCCGCATTTAGGATTAGCTCCATATTCGACAAAGATTGCACCACATTATGATCCAAGAGATTCTGAAAATCATTCAAAATAGAAGCTTTGTTAACAAAGAAATTACGAATGGTTAAATCTGGAACAGGTGGCCTCACATCATTTGAGCTCCAAATAACTCATCCTTCATCCAATATCGAACCAAAAAGACATGTCTCCTCCCCGGATCAAAACTTTAGGATTCTTTGCCGCCTCCATTTCGGTTTTCTTGATTCAATTCCAAGTTGTTTTTTGTCTAGCTGCTTCAAAAAGTGAAAGCATAAACTTGATCCACAACCCTTTTTGATGCTTCACTTTCCACCAAAGTTTATATGAAAAAACTTGAATCACATCTTGAAACCGTCGAAGCCCTAGTCCATTTTCAGTTGTTGGGTGCTGGTGTCGGTTACAAAAAGGGCAAGAGGTTGACTTATTCTCTTACTCAAATCACAAAGAAGATGGAGAGTGGATAAAGTTTTAACTTCTCCCAACTAAGTCTGCAACAAACTAATAGTGATAATCAAATCACTCATATATTTAGAGATCTCCCAAAGAGATGTGATTCAGTAAGTTGCTGCCAACCAGTTGCCATTACATTGCCTATAAATAGTTGAGGTACTTACATATCAAAGGGGAGGAAAAACACCACTTAAACTCTATATTCACTTTCTCAAGCAAGAAGCTAACTTAAGCTTCAGAGTTCTACTCCCGGAAACACTCCGGGATTCTTTTTTATAGGTTAAATCATCATTGAGTTAAGTCAATGCTGGATTGCGCCTCATCATTGGGAAAGTTAGACAATCCCAGGCCCTCCAATATCTTTTCTTTTCATTACTTGATCCTTGCCACAAGAACATTTGACACCTCTTTTCCATCTGCCTAATTACTGAAATGGAGCTGATTGCCGAGAACACATGAAGAGGAATGACCGCGAGCACATGCCTTTAAAGTAAAAGTCACCCGCCTGAGCTTAAGAGCTTATTTTTCTAGTTTGATAATCTTGATTCCAACGAGTCCAACAAAAACTGAAAAGTGGAGGCCGTACTTCTTCCATGGAATAATTTGCAGCCTAAATACATAAAAGGAAAGGAACCTTTTTGCATCCCTAACGTCCTTTTGATGATTCCAACTCTTTGCACCTAGCATGATTCCGCAACCAGGAAAAAGCTCTTATTTCGATTCATTTTCTGTCCAGAAGCGACTTCATAATCATCAAAGAAAGTTTTTAGCTCCTTCAACGACCTCTTCTCTCTCCTTGTAAAGATTATCAAGTCATCGGCAAGGTTTGGATAAGAAACTCGCAAGGATCCCGGCGGCGTTCCATACACCGCTACCTTTCCAGATTGAGCTAAACTTTTTAAAAGCCTTGACATCACTTCCGCTCCTAAGATAAACAAATAAGGTGAGAGTGGATCACCTTGTTTTATGCCACGAGATGCCTTAAAAAAACCACCTGGAGAACCATTTATCATCACCGAAAACCAACGGTCTCGCAAATTATTCATACCCATTCTAACAAACCGCCCTAGAAACCCAAGCTTTTGAAGGATTTTTTTCCATAAAATTCCAAGAAACTCAATCAAATGCCTTCATCATGTCGAATTTTATCACCACATTGTTCCCTACAGCTTTTCTGTTGATGAATTGACAAAGATCCTGAGCTAAGACAACATTATCAATGATGTCACTTCCCTCAAGAAAAGCATACTGTTCTTCAGAAATGAGCTTCGGCACAACCTTCTTCAAACGCTCCGTTAAAATTTTTGTAAAAATTTTATTGAGGAAGGTGCACAGACTGATTCACCTAAATCCAGAAAAGTACAATCGTAGCTTTCTTTGGCATTAAGGTAATCACCGTACTAGTAATGGCTCTTGGAATTGGAACTCCTCCCATAAATTTCATACAAGCATTCATCAAATCTTTGGCTATGATATCCCAACAAGATCGATAGAAAGACCCCCAGAATCGACCCACACTAGGCACGCTTCCTTCATCAAGGGCAAAAACAGTACCTTTCACCTCCTCCGGCGTAATCATTTCAATAAGCTTCTCCTTTTTTTGTCAGATCAAGTTCATCATGAAGGTATTGCAAGAAAGTCTCTTGTTTCTCCCATTGTTGAGCTGAAACTTGGTCCTCCGCCAATAAATTTTGGAAAAAAGATACCGCCTCGTTCTCAATATCATTCAAATCTGTCAAGCATCTTCCATCTTTAGTTTAGATTTTTTGAATGCCTAATTTAACTTTTTCCCTCAGCCAATGAAGCATGAATAAAGGCTGAATTTGTATCCCCATCTTTTAACCATTTTAGGCGCATCTTTTGTTTCTAGAAGTCTTCGAGCTCTTTGAGCTTTTGTAGAAAAAAAGCATTGGCCACATAAGGTTGATCCTATCAATAACATCACCAATCCGATCATAAAAGACTTCCATCTCTCGAACTTTCTCTTCTGCCATTCGCAAATTTTGAAAAACATCACCAAAATGTTCTTTGTTCCATTCTTTTAGCTTTAGTTTCAATCTTCGAAACATTGCTGAAAAAGTTAACATTCCAAAACCCTCAACCGACTGAGACCAATTAATCTTCACCATATCTTTGAATTCATGCCTCCTTAGCCACATTTGCTGAAAGCGAAACAATCTTGGCTTGCTTTCAAATTGTGCATCAAATTGGAGGAGAAGCGAACAATGATCCGATGTCGTACGGCTAAGGTGTTCAACCGATGCCCGTGGAAACAAATCCAACCACTCTTCTGAAAACATAATTCGATCCAATCTTTTGCTTATCCAACCCGTACTTCTAGTGCCGCCCCAAGTGTACTCTTCACCAACCGAAGGAAGCTCCAGTAGATTACTTGCCTCAATACATTGATTAAACTCCTTAATTACAACATAATCTTGGACCGTAGTACCTGAATACTCCTCCAAGGATCGAATGACATTGAAATCCCCGTCTACTACCTAAGGGGAAGTGGAATACAATCTTCTAAAATTGACCAAACTGCTCCAAAGTGAACGTCGATCAACCTTATTCGACTTTGCATAAATTGATGATGGGAAAAAAAATTTTGGAGTGGAACATAGCAGAGTTCAAAGTGCAATACTTGCTCCACATCCTCCAACATGTTAATCATAAACAGATTGCTACACATTACCCAAATCTTGCTATTAGAAGATGAGAAAGCCAAATCAAAACTCAACTCCCCTTTTATTTCATCCAGCTTGTGCACCAGAAGCATTGGCTCAAGAATGACCAGTACATTTTTTAATAGATGGAGCTAAAGTGCCACATGATAAAATGAGATTAAATTTCTTAATTAATTCCTAATATGCTAGTATTTATACATAATTTTTATTTTGTGCGTGTATCTGGGAAAGTTTTTTACTTTATAGTTTGTTCTTACTTAGAAAACAATAGAAAGACCTACGAAGTAAAACCATACACAAATATATGCTTACTGGAATAATCCTCATCACTTGTTTAAGGGAAATGTGTAATTTTGTGGAAGAGTATAACCATTTGCGGTAAATGAAAATATTATGGTCAATACACAAAAAAAATTTGTACAGACGGTAAATTAAATTCTTTCCGTAACATATTTAATAATTCGACCTTGTTTTTCAATTCAACAAATTTACATTCATTATAAGACTACTACTACTTCACGAAGAAACTAAATCTACTACTTTTTGACAAGTAGAAAGACAATCGCACTTTTCGAGTCTTGTATTGTTTCATGTCCATAGAATAAAACTTCATTCTGTTCTGCTAAAACTAAGGTTATCATTATCTAAAATTTCTCAGTCAGTACATTTGTGCAGCAAAGTTATTTGTCATTTCTCCAGAAAGACATATGTGAAAGCTGAGAAAGCAATGAACCGATACCATTACCACTACCTCCTTTATTTGACATTTTTGCTTCATTTGCCTCCAATAATGCCTCAGGGTCTCGCCAAAATTTGATTATATGGAGACTTTCTTCTTCTGTTGACCTTTGCAAAACAATTCGAGATTCGTAACCTTTCTTCTTCATTTCTATGCATAAACCAGAAGGGTCATTTGCTGTAAGTGTAACCATGTATAACCAACCCTTATCAGAGAGAAGTTTGTCTGCTACAGGTAAAATCTTATCAATCACAGTTCTTCCATTTTCTCCACCAGCCCAAGCAGAGGTAATCCCCTCACAACCGACTTCTTCTTCTGGTGTTGGCACATAAGGCGGGTTTACAACCATCACATCCACCAATCCTGCCAATCGAGCCTCTAGTCCTGAGGCGATGTTGGTGTTTATCAACTCCGCATGAACTCCATGTGCGTTGAGGGTTTCAGTAGTCACTTTCAATGCATGAGGATTAATATCTGTTGCTACGAAGTAAGAATCACATTCTCCCTCTCCGAGCAGAAGGGCAAGTGAAGTAATAACGTACCCGCTACCAGAACCAATTTCCAAGCAAACATGGGGACGGTGCCCAAGCAAGTTTTTACGATCAGCTAGGAGTGCATCAACCAATGCAAATGAATCATCACACGGTTCATAGACTTCTGGATGTGAACTTACAAGACGAATTTGGGCAATCTTGTGAGGCATGATTCAAAAATTCTGCAAACAATTGTACAAGGCATGTACTGGCTACACAAATTGATTGAGAACAGTTTGGAACCTGCAAAGGATATACACACTGGCACATTAATACGTACCATACAGCTTGGGATGTGACACACCCAACACGCTCAAGCCAGCTTAAAACTGAAGAAGGAGACTTAGGTAGGTGTCTGCCCCAGCTTGCGCCGGGTCTCACACACTAAACTACAAAATTAAAAATTGGGTGTGTAATGTGTGTTCTTCATGCCTTAGCCCTCAGCCCACAAAAACATGTCAAAATTTAACTAAGCCAGTGAGGTCCCAAAATTTCAAAGACATTTACATGTAGCACTCGGGAATCACATGCGTGCACGCCAAAGATCAACCGCGGACCGTATTCCCACACATTTCCGATCCAAGGTGTTACATTTCACTGAGGACCAACCATAAACAAGTTCCGGACCGAGCAATACAACATGCAAGGCCTCCATAGGGAATCACGGACCGAAGTCCCACATATCATGCACGCGCAATACACACGATTCGCAGCAAAACCCACACACATATTTCACAATCTTATTCACTATACAGATTACGTAAAATGAGATAATATTTAGGGAAGATAGAAAAGATAAATGTTTAGATATAAGCTGGGGAACACTCGCCTAGCTTGTCTGGACCTTTTAGAAGTGCTTACTAAGTTAATGTCAACTATCCTATGAGCTATACCATATACCTTGATAGACAGGGAAAGAAACAAAGAAAAACAATCGTGAGACAAAGAGTTTAAGGTCAAGAAGAAAGGAAACTACATAGGTATCAGTTCTGAATTTTCAGAACTTAAGTGGCAAAGGGACCATGTTCAAACAACATGCTTGGACAACCCGTTAGTCCTTTTAAATGCTAGTAAAAACAAACATAAAATACGATAAATATACAGATATTTCACCAAAAGATTCACTGAAAAGAGTTCAGGAACTAGGAGAATCGGGTGTTTCGAAACAGCAACTCAAAGAGGTTTTCAGAACCCAACTGATTCATGACTGATGAGTCATGTTCCAATCAGGTTTACGGACAAACCGTAAGTCTGTTTTGCAAATTGCAACCCATCAAAACTATTATAAACTATACGAAACAAAGAAGATATTCATGGAAGGAAATCTCAGAAAAATAGTTTTAAGAATGGGAGAAATGAACTCTCAAACAGAGAGACATGAAATTTGATTTTCTGCACTTTTAAAGCCACAAAGTAAACATGCTCCCGTTTTTTAGCAGAATTTCTAGAGATCTACATGGCTATTCAATGCACCGTAAAACCCAGAACAAAAATATAGGCAAACAAGGAAGGGTTTTGCAAGAGAACCATGAAGATAGAGAACTAGAAGACATGAGAACTGAGTTTCTGAAAACAACAATTCAAATCTGAACTTTTTGAACTCAGATGAGACTGAACATCTTATCAAAGTCATTCCTTCCCTTTGGTTCATTTCCTAACTAAAAACATCAATAAAATTATTTTTGAATACCCAAAACCAGTCCTAAGCAACAAAGCACAACATGCAATCAAAGAATTAAAAAATATAGCTATAGAACATAGGTTTTCTAATTCCTCAGACTAAATTTGAAAAGGCTATCAATTATAAAATAATTTTTACCTCCTTCGGATGTTTATTTATGGTCCTAATCACCAATTTGATCCAACTGATTAGCATCTTTTAACTTTCTTCCCTCCTCCCATTCTTTCCCTCTTCCAGATCTCTTTTCTCTCAATTCTCTTACTCTTCTCCCCTCTTTCTTGTTTGTTATAATTAAAACCAGGATTTCAAAGGTACTCGTGGAGGATGATGGTTGATAGATTAGGATTTGAGACTAGTTGGTCAGGGAAGACGAAGCTTGGAGAAAAAAAGGGAAGATGAAGGAGATTATATTAATGGGTTAGTCTCAATGGTTTTAGCAGGGAAGGGAAGAAGAAAGACTGATTTTTAGCACACATTCTTTCAGAACTGCAACCTGGTCCCTCAACTGGGTTAATGTAGTTAATTTGTCCTTATGTTTCCAACTCATTACTCATTGAATCCCTTTATGTTTACAAAATAATAATAATCTCATTCTTTCATAGCTGCAACCCGGTCCCTACACTGGGTTACTTTAGTTAATTTTGTCCTTTTGTTTTCAATTCATTGAATCCCTTGATGTTTATAAATAATACTAATCTTGTTCTCTTGTTTCAGGAGTCTAAATATAATGCTTATTTTATAGTTTATGCTTAGCAGGGAGGTCCCGATAATCAGATTCTCACACGGGGAAAGGAAAGAAACAATGCAGGGAGCTTTTAGGAAGTGTATAATCACACAGAATACAAAGTTCATTTGATTTTAAGGTTTATTTGCCAATATTTTGCTTGATAACCAGAAAGTTTCTTTCTTAGTCAAGCACAAAACCTACAACAAAACTTCTACCTTTACTCATGGCAAAGTTAAGATTAAATTGTACTGGATTGGTTATTTATTTTCACAGGGGTATTCAGTTTGAGCTTCAACAACTTTTTCCTTCTCCACAAATTAAAATAGAACTTCAGAAATCACCCTATACTTGACTTGGATTACATAAGTGAAAGCTTTGTTCATATCACAGCAGCTAAATTCATCGCAACACTACTGAAGATGTGTGGGTATTGATATCAGCAATTGAAAACATGTGGATACTCTTTGTCACAAGAGGTCAAAATAATCACAAAACAGATTGAACCAAATTAGGCTCAAAAGTAAACCGTATCAACCAAAAAAAAAAAAAAAAAAAAACAAGAAGAAAAAGCTGGTTCTGACAGGACATGCCTCAGCAGTGCTACCTATTGCAACTTGGGATTATGCTCGAATATAAAAGAAACTATTCCGATATAAGGAAGTGCATTGACATGAGGAACATACTCAATGTCACCAAGGCAGCAAGCTCACCTTACCAACTCAATTCTAATGAAACAACCAGAAAATCAAGACTCACTTTTGTGTTTTTCTTCATTGAGATACATAAGCAAAATAGGTCAGATTTTACACAATCTTTTGGTATGTTCAAATTAATCTCCAAGTTAGGGACGTAAGTTAACAAATGAGCTCATTGAGTAGCTCCATTAAGTCATAGAGCTCACAAGCTCAGGAACCAACCATAAAAATACTTCAGCAGGTCAAGTTCAAAAGCTCGGGAATCAACCATTCAAAAACTTCAGTAGCTCAGTTCAAAGTCAACACAAAGCCAGTCACAAACACTGGGAAAACTTTGGAGCTCTTGAATTAATAGCCTCCCTATCTGAACTTATTAGTCATCCAATAACAGTATCATATATTCAGTGATATATAGGACATCTAACTTATAGTTCCATAATTCAAACTGTACCAAAGATTATATAGTAAACAGCTTCCACCAATATACCTCATTCCACACTGATTATTGAGAAAACCAGAGGTTGCATGCTACAGTATAAGTTGCCTTGATACCTTATGCACACAATACAATTTCCGCATGAAAATAAAAGATTAAGTCAAGTCAAACCTATTCTGAAACACAAGGCCCCATATGCATCATTTTTTAATAATGTGCCTGAAAATAGTTATATTGCCATTAGAAGGATTCAAATCCTACAACAATCTGAAAAACTGCATAGATGTTTCCATTCAATAGTTCTGTATAGTTCTAAGATTCAAGCATCATAATACATTTCCAATTCAAGGAAACTCCAAACTGCAGATTATCAGTATTTTATCCGAAATGAGAAATGAGCCACATCACAACAATATAAGACAAATACTCAGTATTAAGGCCATTTAATACAGTCATTGTAATCCTTCCACTCAACCAAAGTACAGCTTTTTCCAAAAAAAGAAAAGCCAAAGTTCAGATTTCTCAGTCAACTCTGAAGAGCTAGCGGTATTTACAGTTTCTTACTTGAATTTGTACATTGAAATTGTTTCATATAAGTTAATTTGCTTGAAAGTTTGCAGAAATGCAAAAACTGAATAAACAGAAAATCCAACTCAGAGATTCAACATGATCAATAGCACCTAGATTGAAACTTTTTTAAGTTAGACAGGCATTTACTATTGCAAAATATATCAAATAGAGCTCTGCTACTCATATGTGGATTAGCCATGTTCAACACATTCCAGTTGTATCTTCATGAGTAAATCTATGAACTGAATCCTCTAACAAATCCCCAGAAGAATAAAACTTGGATTTAACTTTCTAGTTCAATGTTCATACAAACACGCATTGATTTATTATTCTCTGCCAAAACCAACATTTTTAGAAAGATTCTGAAATGAAGCACTAACCCAAACCAAAGATATGACTGAGTGCACCAAACAAACGCACAAAACACAATACAACAGCAGCCATTCATAAGTTACAACCAATAAAAACTCACAAAAGCAATCATCAGCGAATTTCAACTCATTGTACGAATCATCCATTGTAAACAAACTCAGAGATCAGAACTAAGATTAATAGCTTGAGGCCAGCAACCCAAAATTCCACATATCACACAAACTGGATACCAAAACACCCCCAGTTAAGCTTCCTTTGTCAGTTTACTTGAGTGTCGCAATTATTTGCGGGGTGGTTGGCTAAGCTACATGAGAAATTAAGAGAGATGAAAAAAATCAACAATACAAGGACATTCCTAACAGGATAGTAAATTAGCAAAATTACAGTGTTTCTAAACTTGGACAGGATACAAATTGGCGAAGCTAGCAGGTTATCGTGAAGCACTTCACTCAGATATCAAAGATGAAGAAAAAAGCATATAACTATAATTTATCCTAATAAATATCATAATCAAAGTCGTACCCTAGGTTAACTTTCAGCAATGTAAGTGGCATTTTAGTACAAACAAAGTCATTTTCACGTGTACAATTATTAGTTCGCAGAAGCAAACGAAGTAGTTCTCCTCTTGATGATACAGACTAATCCTTCAACACTATGTAACCCCTAAACATTTTCTAAGAGAAATATACCTACTATAACTAAACCAAAACTCTTTCCTTCTTTCTAAACTATCCTTCTTGATCTTTACAATTTTTCGAAACTTGACATCTCCCGTAAACAGAAAAGTGGCAATAAAAAGTTTTCATGCATCAAAAATGAGTAATACAACCGTATGAGACAAACCATTAGTCAGAGATGGTCCTCTAAGGAATCAAAGGTCATAGTGTGCACTCTGACAGCAATCAAACTCCATAAAGCAAATGTTTAATCCAAAATCTTAGCAACATCAAGAGGCAAGAATTTCATAAAACTCAAAGCTAAAGCATGGCATTGAAACATCTAGCATACATTCAAACCGCCGAGAAAAGCAAGAAACCAAAAGTAGCAATTACACACTGCTAAACGCCCCATGACAGAAACCAAAAATAATAATAATAATAACAATAAATGAAAAAGAAATTCTTTCATTCATGAAACCCACATAAAAGAGAGAATATTAGCATCGTTTACACATATTCATAAAATGGGCTAGAAAATTAACATACTGGTTTCTTCAGTGACCTCTTTATTCCTCTTCTTTTGCTTCCTATTTCCGAACAATACACCCAAATGGTCAGGATTCACGTTGCCGGAAGCTGTCTCGTTCCCTTTAGAATTTCCGGCGGGCGAAGTTTTCCGGGATTATTTCCTCCGTAGCAGCGGTCGAAGACGACCAAGGAAGAACCCATTAGCGGCCTGATACTTTCATAAAATTGCAACAAACTTAAGGAAAATTATATTTTTGACCTTAATTTCTTAAGAAATTGAATTTAGAAAACAATTTTGTATCACGGGTGGTTTTAAATTCTCCTAGTGTCCCACAAAAATAAAGCACATCATAATTTGTGAATTGACGGTATGATTCATAAATTGTGTCCGAAATTATTATTAGGTTATTTTTCAAAATGGACAACAATTGTAAAATGAACAGATTAATTTAAATTTTTTTCTCGGACCCGAGAAGACATTTGACGAACTAGAATATTCTTTCAGTTCCATTTTTAGGATTTTTTTTTTTTTAAAAAAAAGGCATTTTTAAGAGTTCTATTTACTGTATTATGAAAGAAACACATGTTTAATTAACAAAGAGCGCAAAAACTCATAATTGACTATATCAAGAATTAAAAGGTTACAAAATGCATATTGCCATTCTGAATTTAGTATAGGTTTAGACTTAAAATCGAGTCCTGATCCGTAAATATCATCACATATAGTAGCGTTTTAATTTGATGTTTATATAACGTGTTTACGAAAAAAAAATTTTGTTCGTAAAGTTTGATTTTTTTGGGGAGATTGATTTATTACCCTCTCGAAATATGAGTTTATCGTTTAAACTTATTCAAATCGTGGTGATACATCAACCTAAATCTTAATAAAAAGACAATTAAACCAAATTTTCTTAATTCCTTAACCCTTCTTTTCACAAAAATGCAACACTTTGATAAAGGTTATTTTACTTTCGCATTTGGTACACAGTTATTGATCTTAGTCTACACTGAAAGCACATGAACGTCTTACAAAACTTTGTGAAGATAATGTCATGGGAGTAGATATGAGTTGTTTTAAAGATAACAGTGAGAAATATATTCCATGGGATAGATCACAAGGATATAGAGTGAGACTATGAGTTTCTGATTGCTTAGTGAGAAGGACAACTGAAAAAGATCAAAATATAGTAAGAGATATTGTTGACCAAAGTGACGAATCCAGATTTAACCGAGGCCTAGGTTAGATTACTTAAAGACTAGGTCACCGCCTAAACCTATTCCGACTAGGTTTACAAAAACAGGTAACACCACCTCTATATAAAGAGGTGGTGCCTTTCTCATAATACACATCTTCTACAAATTTCATACACGAATCTTTTACCCATCTCTTTATTCTCTTTATTCTATTACTGACTTAAGTATCGGAGAGTCTATCCTCGGGAGACACCTGAGGCTCTGTCTTGCATGTTTTAGGCCGTCCGCCGCCTCCTAGATCATCATCGCCGCCCGTCTTAAGGCACCCTGCAGATCCATGCTTCGTTAAGTGGCACGCTCGATGGGACCGATTCGTTTGGTCCTTACAACTAAATAAATTTCTGAAACGAAGTTGAGATTTATTTGCTACATGGTGATCACGATAGTAGTTGGGTTTGCAACTTGCTTGTCCTATTACAATGAAGAAACATGGTTGCATTGAAAAGCAAAGGGTAGCCGAGAACGACAATGACAATTCAACTGAGAAGTCGCAGCAGCAAGCAAGCAGCTCACGAAGGCCAAAAGCAGCCAACTGCTCGAAAATAATTCTGTGATTTTTATAATTGTAAATTAGTTCTTATATATTCTATTATTTCTAGTTTGACCCCTAAAGTTTCTTATTTCAGAATAGTCCCTAGAGTTCAAAATCCATTGAAGGGGCAGAAAAATCAGCCGCGCACAATTCCTCAATTCAAGGGTTTAAAATTTTGCAGATAAACTCTCACGTCTTTTGAAGCAAGGGGCACTCTTGAAGATTGAAGTTTCAAGAGATACACCTCCTCGAAGGGGCACGCATCCCTCGAGCACCATTATTGATGCGATTCTGGATGGGCTATTAAGGGTTTTTCCTAACTATGATGATTACTATATTGATTTTGATCATATAGTGGTTGAATAGAATCATATTGAAGTTAATATCAAGGATGATAGAAGATTAAAGCCAAAATACGGTTGGCGTCGAATGAAAATAAAGTCTACAATGAGGCCGGCAGGAGACCAACAGCTTATGGGCCGAGAATAGGACATCGACGAAGAAGCTGACAAATGAAGAGCAGAATTTTCTGAATTTTCCTACTTTAGAGGATTTGAATTTTCGAATTTTAGCCTATCTCCTAATTTTTAGGAGTTTAAATCTCTATCTTTTAGGGATAAAATTATTTAAATCTTCTCACACTTATGGAAGGATAAGAGTTGAAAGATTCCCTATCTTTTAGAGATAAGATCATTTAAATCTTATCACATGGAAAGATAAGATTTGATATGATTCTTTTTTTTATCTAATTTAGAGTTTATTCAAAATAAGAAGTCTATTCATTGGTGTCTACTCTCAACCGTTGGATGAAGACTAGATCAAGATTGAATGGCTATGATTACTCTACAAAGAAGATATTGATAGAGTTGACAATTCAGAAAGATTCTTTTCAAGATAAGAATAAGATTCTTTTGAGAGAATATCTCTTTATATTTGGAGTTTTATTTTTGTTAGACTAGTGTTTCTTAATTCTATAAAGGTGTCTAGATACATTTACTTAATAGACAAGACACAAGTTGTCAATTAGAGGTTAAGTTGATTTCTAGTTCTTTAAAGTAGGAGTAGAGTTAGAGATCAAAGTCTTCTCCTACTTCATAGGAGAATTTCGGCCCCCTCTACTATAAATAGGGGTTCTTGGCCAGCATTTTAAATGCACCTTTGATGAATTTGATATTTCAATACGAGACGAGAGGAAACTCTTTGTTATTTTCCTATTCTTTTCGAAGACTAGTTGCATTGAACACAAGCTTGTGCTTTGTTGATGCGTGCGAGTAGAATAGGTGTTTTTCTACTTGTGGAGCTTTGTTAGTTGTTCATTGGAGCCTTTTCGCTAGCCGTTCTATCCATAAATTGAAGGGATATGGTTGTTAGAGAGGTGACCGATTGGGTTGCTAGCCTTAACCACTTTCTACATCTTCTAAACTTTTCCATCCTTTTTTGGTGCAAATTTTTGTGGTTTGCATCTCTTCTTTTCTTTTATTTTTAGTGAGTTTTGGAGTCCATAATATTGGATTTGTAAGTTTTGAAGTCCTGGGATATTCATAACTTCCGCGTTGAGGTAAATCTGCCACTTTTGCCTCAAGATTCGTATCACTAATACTACTCGAAGTGTTCGAGCAGATGTATCTCGAGTTTCATCTACACAAATATTACACTCTCGAAATCGAGGTCACACCTCTCGAATGAACAATTTATCTCGAGACCGAGGTACTTTCTAAACCTGGTCATTATCATATGCTTCTCGAACATAAGTTCATATATCACTGACATCATAATTCTTGTTATAAGCATATTACTTTTATCATATGACTATCTTTTTGATACATACACCATACCATATTGCATATCGAGCATCCAAATATATAGGGGTCACCCTTCAAATCAGGCATTGGGGAGCACCCCGCATCAAAAAGGAAACGAAAGACTAGCTAGACGGGCACCAGGTTTAAATAAGACCTGCTTGACGGGCACGACCTATAAAGACCTGCTAGACGGGCAATGGCCAAATAAGACCTACTAGATGGGCACAGCCACAAGACCTGCACGACAGGCACTATAGGCTTCTCCCTTTCAAATAAGAGAGTATAGGCTTCTCATCTTTAAATAAGATAATCTAGGCGCTATCCTCCTAATTCGGCATACACAGGCTTCCCCCTCCTAATCAGGAACTCAGTAATACAAAGACCTCCTCGAGGCACTTTATTCTCTTTATCTTATATAGGTGACACCCAAGAACGAAAGAGTTCGAGAACTGGGGCAACACCACGAAACTCGAGAAGACATCAACACTCGTAGTAACCCATATTCTTCTCATTGAGTCTCGAGAATATAGTTTGCTAGGGGCACTTGACGAGTCCAGATTTAATCTAGGCCTATTGGGTCTAGGGTTATATTACTTAAAGGCTAAGTTACCGCCTAAACCTATTCCGACTAGGTTTACAGAAACAGGTAACACCACCTCTATATAAAGAGGTGGTGCTTCTCTCATAATACACATCTTCTACCTATTTTCTACATATTTTACACACGATATCTTTTACCCATCTCTTTATTCTCTCTATTCTATTATTGACTTAAGCATCAGAGAGTCTATCTCGGGAGACACCGAGGTTCTGTCTTGCAGGTTTTAGGCTGTTCGCCGCCTCATAGATCATTATCGCCGCCCGTCTTAAAGCACCGTGCAAATCCATGCTTCGTCATAAAGATATGGCACGTATGTTTCAACTTCTGTTAGGTATTGGGTTGAATGATGTTAGACGCCAGTGCTATTAGATAAGATATAAGTAAGCATATAAGAATTGATATTCAAATGTGAAATACAAAATTAAGATAGGTTAATTATAAGATGTTTATAAAATCACAATGTGAATTACTTTTGTAAAACAGAAAAAAAAAAAAAAATGAATTTGTGCATTTGTAGCCCTTCATTATAAATCTTAACATATTTAGCAGATGATCAATCAATAACAAAATGATAATGCTTTTTAGATGTAGAAAATTACCTAATATTAATCAAAAGTGTTTTGCAGTTAGTAGTAAGTAGTGAAATTTATATAAAGTGAAAATGATATATCATTTTTTTTTTTTGATCCGCGGATGGGAAATATTGACTATTTCATTAATTAAAAAATGAAAATACAAATATACCTCTAAATTCAGAGGATTTAGATGGGATGAAATTACTCTCTAAATCTCCATCTAGACAAACAAAGAAATTCATATAATTGTTTCATATTATTTCAACAAACACGAACGGAGGAAATATCCGTACTGATGTGATATTTGAAGAAATCTCTATGAAAGTTCACTAGGGCGTACGACCGGTTTTAATTTATGGTAGTACTTAAACCGAAATTTCCCACCAAGCTTCTTTCAGGTGGTACTATTTGGCGTTTCAAAGTCTCCAAAATTCTTGGGTAGAAAACTTGATGCTCCACGCAGATAAATTAAGAATTGCTTTAAAAGCAAGTGTTGCGTTGACATATTCTAGATGTAGATGAATATCCAAAAACCGGTCAATAAGTTAGAATATAAGGACTTCAGCGTATCACATGAATGAAAACCACCCAAAAAATCAAACTAATTATGATTTTTTTGGAACTACTACTTGTAACGCGTGGAAACGGCGGCGGCGACCGGTTTCAAAATTCTCATTTTATGTGTGGCCTAAGTGCACCATTTTATTTTTATTGCAAACTCTCTTTTATTGACAATTTAGTAAATGACGAACGTGGAAATAAGAGATTAGAAAACAGTAACTTTGTGTTGCTCGATAAACGTAAGTTGTAACTAATTAGTACCTTTGATAAATTACTGTCTCCTAGCTAATTTCTGCTTTGAGAATTAAGGTATCAAATGATATTACAGAATTGATCATTATGAGTAAAAACGTTTCAAGTTATTGAAAATATTTTCAATTAATTCAAAGAGACTCACAAGGAAGAACCAGAAATCGAAGGTGAAGCCATACCAATATATTTACACCAGAAAACTCTACATATATATATATATATATATATATATATATATATATATATATATATACAGTACATAAAATGATCACTGACAACCTCAAGTAATATATTCTCCCTCAAGAAAGAAGATTAAAAAAAAAAAAAGTAAACAGAACACAACTCTCCTAAACTCATGATCACAAACAAGTAGTGAACTAGCTAGAAACCAACATCATGTTCCTAAATTCATCATAATCAAGCAATCCATCCGAGTTGGTATCAAACTTTCTAATCATGCTCTTACAATCTCCTCCATCACATTCATCCCACAATCCAAATCTCAACAACACATTCTCAAGCTCCTCACAAGATATAAATCCATCTCCATTCAAATCAAACACCTTAAAAGCCTCAACAAGATCTCCATCATGATCATGACCCGAAAGCGAGTTGTTGTTGTTTTTCTTCACGACGATATCATAAAAAAAGATGAAATCCATCGAATCAAGGGTCGTGCTACTTCTTCCAACAAGTGTTTTTAACTCCTCGATGCTAGCTGAGTATCCGATTCTCTCTAGAAGCCATTTTAGCTGATCGATGCTGATTAGGCCGTCGCCTTTCTTGTCGAGTGTCGCGAATATCTTGTGCAAATCATCCACGCTTATAACAGGTGACATGAAATGATAATAATTAATGATTGAGATGAAAAAGAAAGAGTGATATTATCTTGATTTTTGGCTTTTTGATGGCCAAGTATTTGTTGCCAAGATATGCTTTTGTTCCTAGCTGATGATATGAGAAGATGTTTCAATTAATGGATGTGGTATATATTCTCTGGTATTTATATACTTCGAGGAAATGCTGGAAGAAAAAAACGATAAACGTCCAAAAAAATAATTAAGAAAAATATAAAGCGTGTGGTAATGTGGTCGGTTTTTGACATTTCGAAAGAAAATTGAAGGAAATTCACAATGTGAAGGAACGTTCTTTGTAAATTGACAAGAAGGCACATAGAAATGAGAAAAAAAACCATATTCGTGGGGTTCATGGGCTTTAATTACTTGGCAATTGGCAACACTAGTTAGAATGTTTGGTTTTAAAATTGATTGGCTACAATTAAACTACACATTTCATTTTCCGTGTAACGATGTTTGTATACTTTGTTAACTTAGTTGTCTAGACTGTAACTAATTTTGTAGGATTTTAAGTGTAATACAATCCAATACAAATATTCCAAAATGATCCAAATATGTATTAATTAGCTCGTTAATTTCACAATGTTTATATCTTAATCTGCTTGTATTCGTTACACATCCTTCCCAAATATGTCATTCTGATCTGTTTCGTACGTTACTTATATTTGGTCAATGCAAAGGTGTTTTTCGCCTTGTGTGTGTGTGGAAATATTGAAATGATCACATCCTAACTATTTCTTTAATTTATTCCAAAATAATCATCTATTTTAATTTTTCAGGTTTTAATACAGATATGTTAAAAGTAAAAATTCCCCGTCATCTTGAAATGATAACGTAATTCATCTAAAACATCCTATTTCTTAAGTTGGGATTGTACGAGTATTAACAAACTCATACCAACTGCCGAGAATATTTGTTACTTTTATTTGTTACTTTAAAAGTGTTCATCATCAAAATTATTGTCATATTTATATTGTGTAAAATAAATAAGGAGTATATATATATATATATATATATATATATATATATGCAACGGTTTTTATTTGTTTGTGCAACAACAACATGCTTTTTAAAAACAAATTCCCGCGTTTATCAATTCTTATTGTCACTTATTTTCAAAAGCTTTTTCATTTTTTTCTTTTCTGTGATAGAAGATTAACTAATGTTGATATTGTCACACTCCATTTCATTATGTAAAAAGGATGGAAAATTTCAGGAAACGTCGTAAAAATTTTTTATGCCGCCACTCTTAGTTGATTGATTAAGGATTTATATAACTCTTCCAAACCCTTTTATTTATTTATTTATATATTGGTGATGTTGGTATATTTTAATAGTGTGGCGGAGTCTATAATTGCTGCAATAATAATGGTGATGAAAATTGCGCCGTCCATTGAAGAAATAATGAAATATCCTCGCAAATTCGAATTATTAAATCTCATGAGAAAAATCCAGATGATCACTGAACCACATATGTCCGTTCACCAAGGCTTGAAGTTGATGGGTTTAACGTCATTGAATTTAGGAAATTAGGCAACCTGTAATTGAAGGGCATACAACATTAATTGGAATCGGTCAACGCCCTTTTTGCCTGTATCATCATTCAACCCACCAAGTTCGAGTTTCTTCGGTATTGTTGTTGGTACAATTTGGGACGAATTTATTGGTCTCCAAGGAAGTGAGTATAATCTTTTGGAATGTTTATCCTTAGAAGAAGAAAGGTCGGCGATTTTGCCGCAACAATTTCTAACATTCAGTGCATATTTTTTTATTTTTTCCACATCTGTCTGGATAAGGTCAACTTCTTTATTTTTTTCTCTCTCCCCCGTCTCTCACTTATCCTGATATCCTCAATCTATGAATTTTTATTTTGTATCTCTCTCCCACAGAACGAATAAGAAGCTCCTCTTTCTACTCTTCTTTCTCTCTCCAGCAAAATAATCATTCCAAAAATTTGCTCTTATTTGTAATTTTTTAATTTTTAGCACTTTGAACAATTTTTCTAATAATTATAGTTTTTGAAGATGACGGTGGAGAGGAAATTAGGGCGGCTGAGGGAGTTGAAGGCGAGGAGGAGGTGGTTGATGATGTTGAAGAGGAGGAAGTCGACAGCGAAGATGACGCCGACGCCGGCGAAGATGAGGAAGAGGACGACGAGGAAGGAGACGATGACGATGATGACGTCGGGAGGTGCTTCATGTTGAGTCCCAGGAGTTGTAAATTAATGTCTTTAATGGGATGGGGTAATTCCTTGTTGAATTATCTTCTCAGTAGTGGAATATACTCTTTGAACACTTATAACCTAGAATATGTTGTTGAATTTTCTGCTAAGGGTGCAAGATCACATCAAGAAGGGCACTCCAAGAAAGTCAAATGCGAAGAATCCTATATTCAACCTTAAGTGGCACTACATCTACTCTTTGTTTTTTGTTTCTCTGCGTGGATTCAATGCTTTTGTGCACCGAATTCCTCCTAGTTTATATAGTTTGTTAATCTACCTCAGTTGATTAAAGTACTAAAGTCTTGGCCCTGCTGGGGAGTTACCAGTGAAAAAATGGAGACTTTTTTCTTTTTTTTTTGGTTCTCCCTCTCTATATTTAATTCTTCCAACTGATCATAATACTACAAAAAGAAGAAAAACCTACATGAAGGCCTCCAAATCTACCCATTAAAATGGATAACGTTTTATACATAGTAAAAGTGCCTAACAAATTAAAATAGTCACTGCCAAGTCAATAAACCTCAAGGTTTGGGACATTTACTGATTAGAAAATGAAATAGGCATTTTTGTTTATATCACATATTGGATAATAACTCTAAGTCAATACATAACATACTAAACTCACTATTCATCGCCAGTTATACATTCAATCAAAAAGAAATTTAAAAATATTTTGTGATAACTAATATACACGTCTTTGTGGAACACTAATAGCTGATTTTGGGAAGGAAAAGTTCTCTATAAATTTTTTGGAGGGAAATTGATAGCGTTGTTATGAGAGAGAGAGAGAGAGTGAGAGAGAGAGAGAGAGAGAGTAAGGAAGGGCTAATTGAGCGAGAGAAATGGGGGAGAGAGGAAAATAAAGAAGTTGACTTCACGATGGCAGATGTGAAAAAAATGAAAAAATATGCACTATATGCTAGAAATTGTTATAGCAAAATCACCACCCAAGAAGAAAATATGGCGGATATATCTTCACGATTATATCACATTTGTAAATTTATTTCAAATTTTTTAAACTAGTTAATTACGTTAAAGATTCTTAAAATTGAACAAATCCATTCATATCATATTATGACTTGCAGACAACAAAAAGGACGTTATATAACAAATAAAAGTCCATTGAATCTCGTATTTATTATTTTTCTCATATTTTTTTTGTTTTTATTCATTTTCTAGCGTATTATTGAAAAACAAGCGAGATTACAAACGAAAAAAAAAATAAAAAATAAAAAATAAAAAATAAAACTAAAACTTTCTGAATTGTTACTGGATCCAATTTTTTCCTAAGTTTAATTAATTTTAATTTATCGTTGATGATTGTAAAAATTCACAATCTTGTATTTTGAGCCACTATATAATTAAATTTGTGTTCATTCTAAATTTTGATTTCTTTAATTTTTTTTTTTAAAAAAAAAACTAGAATGGTACGTACAACGTAATGGGTAAGCTCCGATATCATTATTTCTTCAAAACAAAGATAGTGTATAAAACTTACCAACAAAAATTACCTTTGACGTCGAAGACAAAACAAAGAAATTAAGAATTACAACTTTATATCCAAGTTTATATTAGATTGGAATGCATCCGCCCATATTTCCCCAAGTGTGAACGTCTCTATACGTCTCTATATAGACAATTAAGCCTCAAAATCTAATACATAATAATTACTGAATTAAATAAAAATATTATTGAAGCGTGATCCGGATGATTTTAATATTAATGATGTAAATTGAACTTGTGTAATTTTTAATATCTATGTTTTTTGTTATTTTAAGTATATTTAGAATATTTTCAATATTTGAAATCATCAAATGTAACTTCTTGGGCATTTTTTATATTTTTAAAAATATTCTCTTAATTTTTTATAACGATATCTCTAAATATTTTACTCGTGTCATATATTTTAAACCCTCCCTCTAATAGAAATTTTTTTCATTATTTCTTATCATGAACTTATCATTATTTTCCGTCTCTCTATATATCGTTTACAACCTTTCTTTAGATGCTTGTTCATATATTTTCATTATAATATAGTACTTATTTTCTTTTCTTGGTTGCATAGTTTTCGCCTTTTTAAAAAAAATTGATGACCTCTTTTTAAAACTTCATTTCTTGAATAATTTGTTGTAACTATTTTATAACAAAAACTTGATTAATGGTTACACTTTAACACGTAAATATAGAAATTAATATTGATCGGTGAATTGGCTTTTCTCATCATGACAATAAATTTTTTTTTTAACGCCGAATTTCTTTTATTATTTTATTTTTTATTTCAGTTGGTTATATTTGGATTTATTAGTTTGAATTTTCTTTTTGGTCGCTTTTTTAACATTAAAATTTACCGTTAAGGGGGGTAATCTCTTAATTTTTTAGTTTTATCTATAAATTTATATTTAAAAAATTAGCATTAAATAATAAAGTGATGTGGTCACGATATGCAGATTTGCCTTTCTAATTTCTTGCCATGTAGATTTCTAATGTATTATTGTTGTTGCATTTTATATTTTGTAATTGGATCACATGTTTTTATATGGAAAAAGGGCGATTGGGGTTTACACTTTATTATCTAATAAAAATCTTTAATATATAATTATATTATTAGTATGGCTGATGATATCGCCAGGACAATAATTAGCATTCAGAGCAATTTTTATACAATTTTTCAAGATTGCCCTCATCTTGTCAAATTCTAGCTTTATTATTTCCTCACTGTTGTCTCTTTCATCTTTCATCATTCTCCGGTCCCGATAGATGAATTTAAACAGAATTATGATTATCAAAAATTAAGCAGCAAAATTCTTTCTCTAAATTTAGGGCTAAATCTTGAAGTTAGAGTCTTGATCCGCTAAATTTTTCAATACTTAGAGATCTCCAAATTTGATAACAAAATGTGATACTTTTGGCTTCTTTTCTTTCCTTTTTTAGTTTTTTTTA